GGAAAACAAAGCCCCCAGCACCCTCTTTCTCTACCAGCACACCCGTGCCTTCCCCCTGCCCCTCTTTCCCCAGGGTCTCACTCTCTCCTGAGCACAAGGTGCATTTTCCTTGCCCCTCTCTTTCTCTGAAGCTCCCAGGGCCACTCTTTTGCCTCTGTAACTTGTTTCCTGAGCCCACTTCTTCTGCAGCTCACTTCTTCTACCTCTTTGTCTCTCTAAATACATTCCTTCTTATCATTTGAGTCTTGGCTCTGGATTCTTCTCTTAGCCAGAACCCATGAACTGAGTTTGCTGAACTGAGGTCTAACACCTGGGGCCGTTTTTGCTGACAGCAATCCCATAGCTCCTGGCACCTTGACACCAAAGTCACCTACCAATTTGACCTTACTGAGGTCCCATGTGACCACAGAAATAACCATTCAGCTCATTGTCTCCTATGAGTTTGGGCCACAGCTTCTGGGTTATTGTGAGTAATAACAAGAGAGTCAGGGCCTGAGGCAAATGGAACTGAGGACTGGATTCCGACAGGGATAGGGGTCCAAGAGGACGCTAAAATGGAAACTACCTTCAAAACTGAAGAGGAACATATTGCCTTCTGAATTGAGATGCTCCACAGAACCTGACCATCAGTGTCTTCCGTGGAAATAATACAGGCAGGAGAGACCTTCTCCTTTGCAATGCTGTGATGGACATGGACAACAGGGGGATGGGAGCATGAGTGTGCGGGGGTGGGGTGGGGAAGTTGGGGGTTAATGGGGGGGATGAGGACACATTTGTAATACCTTAAGTAATTAAAAAAAACAAAAAAAATAAAATTAGTTTGAACATTCAAACAGTGCTTAATAAAAAAAAAATCTTATGGAGACTTTGCATCCTCACTTCTATGGACCACTTGGAGGGATCTTTTGTTTTGGCAGCTGACTTCTTCTTAAACTTCTCAGCTCCCTCCCCAAGGGCCACATTCAAAGATCAGACGTTGCCTTTGAAGACCCCTCTTGATCCTATCTCTTCACCCAGCCTCACCTCTTTAGTTGACAATCCTTTCACTTTATTTTCCCCTGGCATTTTATTTGCATGGTCTCGTGTATTCAAAGGGTTCAAAAGAGCATGTAGTAGAATGTACCTCTGCTCCTCACCCCAGTTGCAGGCTCAATCCCCCATGTGGGGCATGTAGGAGACAGCCATCAATGATTCTCTCTCATCATTGATGTTTCTCTCTCTCTCTCCCTTCCTCTCTGAAATAAATTAAAAAATATTTTTTAAAAAGTGTTCACCCAATGCTTCCTGGGGCATCTGGGGTACTCCAGCCCTGAGAAGGGTTCTGCACAGAGAGGATTTGGTCCCAGAAGAGTCTTGGAATCCCACTCTTCTGTCCCCATGAGAAGGGCTCTAAGAAAGCTGTCTGGAGGAAATTGACCCTCAAATTCCACATCTGTCTCGAGGGAAGAGGGTGTTGGTCTTCAGGAGGTAAGAGGCAGGGTTTCCGGGTACAAGAAGAGGGAAGGGTCCACCCTGCTGTGGTCCAGGGGGGAGAAGAGCTCAGCTTTCACTTCCCCTGCAAAGGCCCAAGGGGGAGAGGGGAATTTCTGTTGAAGGGAGAAGTTTGGGGCAGAAATCCTACATTTCCATCCAGAAAGAGGCTCCAGGTCTTTTACCACCAGCAGTGACCCCCACCCCCAGGCTGAGAGTCAGATGGTGTCAAGGGAATGTGGACTATTTCTTTGCAGCCCAGAGATGCCAGCGCTGCAGAGGCCACAGCTGTGAGGACTACTGAGGTCTGAGCAAGAGGTTTCCAGGCGAGGCTGCAGTCAGAGACTGGTCCCTGGAGGATATCACAGGAACAGTGTGTGACCTTCAGTCAGTGACACAGCAAAGGGGAGCCTGCCTCTGCCTCCTGTCCCACTCTCCAGTCCAACCCATGGGTTTCCTGGGCTAACGTTAGCCCACTCCACAACCACCTTCATATCCTGGAGGTGACCAACAGACACCATCATCCCCCCGCTGGCCACAGGCCCTATCAAAACCTGGATGAGAGAACCTGGGACAATTCGACCAACTGGGGGCCCTCGGGCCCCCAGTTGGTCTCTAAGCATCAGATTTTCCAAGATGCGAGGAAGTGGGAATACTTCAGGATAGAAAGAGATTACGTGAACCATGACTCCCAATATATGACATTGTCTCCGAATGTGGCAAGTAGCCAAGGGTCCCCAGGAAAGAGCCCCATGGGCCAACTCTACTGTCTTCCTAGTCCAGCTCTGCCCATTTACTGTGCTCTTGGAGATGGTACCCCCATGCCCTCTGTTACTTTTGTCAGGGCTCTGGGAGTCACTCTAGGTGCCTCCCTCCCCCACCCATCACACCTCCCCTCAAATTTCACTTCCTCAAAGTAACTTCCACCTCAAATCTTTCCTCCACAACATGCAGATTTGGTTCTCACCTTCTTAAACAACCACAATAGTGTTGATCTCTGGCCTCTTGACCTCCCGCCTTTCCCTTCCACTTCCTTCTCTATCCTGGCCTCAGAGAGACCATGTTGATACCTATATGACCCTGATCCTTTCTTGCTTAAGAATCTTCCACGGTTTCCCCATTGCCTTCAGATAAAGCTCTAGCCCATCAGCTGGTCTGTCTTCCCTCACTGCTTGAACTAGTTGAAGGTCAGGACTGATTCAATCATTTCGTTAGATTGAAAAGGTGTGAATGAAGGAAATGAGTGGTGGTGTGTGGTGTTTTTGTTGCCTCCTCTAGACCCTGTTCTGCCACTGGTGCCCATATAGGCTTTCCCGAGACCCATCCCTAGCGGGCTACCTCCATGAGAGTCCCAAGGCCATGACTGTCAGAGAGCTGGCCAGGTGGGGCCAGCTTCTCCAGTACAGATGATGGCCCATGGACCCAGGACACGGGGCTCTCGTCCGCCCTTGCTATCTTACTTGGACAGGCCTCTTGCTTCCTCTGAGCCTCAGGGTTCATTTGCCACAGGCAGAAATGGGCCGGATGACCTCAAAGAGTCAATCATAGTGGACTCTCTAAATCTGAGGTTCCCTCTTCTGGGCTTGTGACCTTTGGTTCTCACCACAGGTTTCCTGTCAAAGCTTTCTCTGCCCTCCCTCATCTGCATCTTTCCACTCTCTCGCAGAGGGACCCGGACCGAGTAGACAGACTGTGTCAGGGCATGAGGACGAGATGTTGCTGAAGCTGCTGTTGCTGCTGCTGCCCGTGCTGTGGGGAGGTGAGTGGGCCGAGGGCAGAGGGCAATCCACTCGGGGGAGGCTCTGGAGCTCCAGGCTGAGTTTTTCTCTCTTCCTAGGAGCCCTGGCTAAGGATTCAAGCTACCGGCTGGTACTACAGGAGTCTGTGATAGTGCAGGAGAGTCTGTGTGTCTCTGTGCCATGCAAGTTTTCCTACTCCAGGATGTTCCCTAAATACCTGCACAAGCATTGGTTCAAGGAAATAGAAAATGAAAATCTTGGTATTCTGGTGGCCACAAACAATCCAGAAGAGAAGCTACAAGAGAGGACCCAGGGCCGGTTCTTGATTCCCATGGACCCCAAGTCCGATGACTGCTCCCTGACCATCAGAGATGTCAACATGAGGGACAGTGGGACGTACTTCTTTCATGTAAAATATGGACTCTATGAACATACATATGAAGACCAAATGCTCTCTCTGAAAGTGACAGGTATGGTAGGGGCCCAAAGAAAGACCCCCGGGTGTCAGGTACCAGAAATGGAAAAATGAAGGACCCTGGGGTTGGGGTGGGGACAGCCATGACAAAACCCTGGGGCAGGCTGACATGCCGAGGGGTCCTCACCACCTCTCTCTTCACTCCAGCCCTGACCGACAAACCTGACATACTCATCCCAGGGCCCCTGGAGTCCGGCCGCCCCAAGAAACTGAACTGCTATGTGCCCTGGGCCTGTGAGGAGGGCACGCCCCCCATCTTCTCCTGGACATCAGCTGCTTACACCTCCCTGGACTCCAGGTCTCATCATCTTTCCTCTGTGCTCACTCTCACCCCAAGGCCCCAGGACCACGGCACCAACCTCACCTGTCAGGTGCATTTTCCTGCCACTGGTGTGAGCGTGGAGAGAACCATCCGGCTCAATGTGGCCTGTGAGTTCTAGGGCAGGATCCCGGGTTCCTAAGGGGTTGTGGCCAGGGCAGAGCTGGGCCAGGTCAGAGCTGGGCCAGGGCTTGAAATCAGGGTCCTGATAGTCCACCAGGAAGGGAACCCCCTCTCCTGGTTCCATGGCTGCTGGGGAAAGGCCCAGTGCCCACCCATGGATGTCCTTCTGTCCCAGATGCTCCACAGAACATGGCCATCCACGTCTTTCAAGGGAACAGCACAGGTAGGAACGGGCTTCTGTCCTCAGGGTTGGGAGGGACACAGGGTCTAGGTGAGTTCCGAGCTACGTGGGATACATAGGGGAGGCCAGCTACTGAGGACAGATAGAAGGCTCCTCCCCACATCTCAACTCTCTAAATCTCTTGCTCACCCACAGCTTTCTGTGGCCAAATAAAAAGGAGGCTTGCGTCCCTCTTGCTTCACCCTCCTCTCTGAAGTTTTGCCTCCTCCTGCTTCCGTTACCTCCTCTTTGGCCCATGCCTGCGTTTGTTTTTCATATTCCATGTCCCCTGTCCTCCATCTGCGAGGCAGCCTGGGCGACTTTGGGCCCCTTCGGAAGGGCTGAGGCCAGGGGGTGTTGGTCCTCTCCTCAGAGCTAGTGTGGATATAGCAAGGGGGAGAGACCCCAGCTTTGTCTTCTCTCTCCCCCCCACCCCCCATCTCTCTCTCAGCCCTCAAGATTCTGCAGGCCACTTCCCTTTCCATCCTGGAGGGAGAGGCCCTGAGGCTGCTCTGTGAGGCTGACAGCAACCCTCTTGCCAGGCTGAGCTGGTTCCGGAGGTCCCCAGGCCTGAACGCCACCCCCCTCTCCAGCACCGCGATCCTGGAGCTGCCTCGCGTGGGGCCTGCACAGGAAGGAGAGTTCACCTGCCAAGCTCGGCACAGGCTGGGCTCCCACAGGGTCTCTCTCATCCTCTCAGTGGTCTGTGAGTGGGGAGACGCCGGGGGGCTGGACAGCTGGGTTCTGGGGAGATTAGAGGCACCGCACCCGGAGCACCGCTGTCCTGCTGCTGCCAGGTCAGGGCCTGCTGGGGGCAGAGGCCACCGAGAAAGGAGTGGGTCGGAGAGAAGGTGGGGCTGGGGGAGGGGAGCTGCACAGGCACAGGAGTGATTGCTAGGACAGGACCCACCATCTCCTGCCCAAGCGGAACCTACAGCAGGTTCTGCAAGGAGGTGGGAAGAGGAGAGACTGAGTCCTGGGAGTGGGAGGTGTCATGCTGGGAGGGAAAAGCCCTCAGACCCTGGGGTCCTGGGGCCGCCTGGGATGCAAATGGAACAGGAAGGTGAATTCATCTGCTGAGCTCAGAACCTGCTGGGCTCCCTCCCTATCTTGCCAAGCCTCTCTGTGCACTGTGAATGGTGGGGTCCTGGCTTACCCAAGGGCAGCACACCTGGGTCCTGGTGTTGGCAGCACTGAGAATGGCAGCAGGTGTTAGGCTGGTGGGGTCGGACCGAACCTTGGTTCAGGAACCTCAGTTCTTGAGTTCTGGCTAAGAAAGAATTCAGAGCCAAGACTCAAAGTATAAATGGAAGTTTGTTTGGAAAGCCAGAGAGTTAGAAGAAGTGATCTGTAGAAGTAGGGGGCTTAGAAAACAAGCTACAGCAGCAAAAGAAGGGGCCCATGGTGCTTAGGATAGAAAGGAATAAAGGTAATG